AGGGTAAGCTTTGCAGTGGGGAGGGTAAGCTTTGCAGTGGGGGGAGGGTAAGCTATTGCAGTGGGGAGGGTAAGCTTTGCAGTGGGGGAGGGTAAGCTATTGCAGTGGAGGAGGATAAGCTATTGCAGTGGGGGAGGGTAAGCTATTGAAGTGGGGGAGGGTAAGCTATTGCAGTGGGGGAGGTACCTCGGAGGTTCCTGTGTAGGTCAAGGCTGATTCGTGGAAAGATGCCCTCTCCGTACAGAGTGATGTTTTCTGGGACCAGGTGGGCGATCTGTATCTGGAAGTTTCTTTGAAAGACCTCAGGTATTCCAGGCAAGTAGTAAACTTTCAACACCTGCTCCTTGTTCGACTGGATAAAACCCTGCATGATAAAGAGACCAGAGAGAGTGTGACGGTGTGCCCCGCCCGGGTTTATGCTTCTGATGGGTGGTTAGAAACACCATGGTGCTGTAAGAGGAATGATGAGAAGATTCCAGGGAAGCAGGGCTAGTCCTCTACGGGAATGAATCACTAGCAGAGATGTCTTCCCACTCTGTGGGCTGCCCATCCAATCACTTCACATTTCCTTTCTATGTACAGAAGCTTCTAAGTTTCAGAAAGCCCATTTGTCCACCGATGTTCTTATTTCCTGTGGGTCTTACTCAGAAAGTACCTGTCTCACCTGTACCTATAAGTTGAAATATGCTTTGTCCCTTAGCAATTTTGCAGTACCAGGATGGCCTTGAACTCACGGAGGTCTGCCTGCCTCTGTCTCCCAGTGCTGGGATCAAAAGTGTGCACCACCACATCCTGCCAGACTAGCAAGTTGTATGTTGAGGTCTTTGATCCATTTAGGGTTAAATTTTGTCAAGGATGAGAGGTTGAATTCCAGCTTTCCTGACACCAGTTGATGAAGGTACTTATTAACTCCCTTTCCTCTCATGTGAATTTTTGGCATTTTTATATTAAAAAAAAAATCAAGTAACTGTATTTGCATGGATTTATACTTTGGCTGTCAATTCTATTCTGCTGATCCCTGTGTCTGTTCTATTTTTTTTTTTTTTTGCCCCAGTGCCATGCTGTTTTATCCCTCTGACTCTGTAGTATAATTTGAAAGCAGGTTCAGTAATACCACCTATAGGATTCTTTTGGTTCAGGATTAAAACTGGGAAACTACTCACCTTTGTAAGTCACAAAGGAAATGCAGACTAAGAGGACATGAAATTTTCCTTCTTGACCACAAGACTGGTAAAATTTATCAAGTGTTCGTGAGAACCTGCCTCACAGGAAATGCTTATATCCTTCTGGTAGGACTTCAAGATCAGTGAGCAGACAGGGAAACTGTGGAGGTCGGGTGTGGTGGCATAGAAACAGAATCCCAGCACTCAGTGGAGACAGGAGGATTTTACGTTCAAGGCCATCTATCCTAAGACACCTAGAGAGACCTTTAGTTTGAAAAGTCTAAACCCAACACAAAGAAACAGAACAAAACATTTTATGTCATCACATCAAGCAGACGGTAACGTAGCCTATGGCCTAGCACCTCTTGGCAGAAGTCCTTAGGAAGACATCTACTGCTGGGATGTGTAAGGGAAAATTCATAGCAGGATTGTTTCTAGTGAGAAACTACTGCTTAACTCACTTCCTATAAGCTAATGTGGTTCCTGACCTGGGCTGGTTCACCCCTCCTTAGGCAACCTGATGGTCCCCTGCTCCTGGGAGGTCACCGTATTGATGCTGAACTTAGTGTGGACACCCCATCAGCATAGCACACTACAGCTCAGAACTCCTGGACTCAAGTGATCCTCCCGTTTCAGCTTCCTGAGAAGCTGGGACTACTGGTGGTGCCCGGGGGCAAACGTGGTTTCAATGGATGGGAAGTTGCTTTTAGTGTGGCTAGGAAAGGAACATTATTCAGTAGTAAAAATGAATGAGCTGTTATTAAGATGTAATAATATAGATCTTAAAAATCATAATGCTGGGTAAGAAAGCGAGCTGTCATGGACTACATCTCATTATACCACTTAAATTATTTTATGTGTGCCACATGTATGCCTCTTGCCAGTGGAGGCCCGAACAGAGCACTGGATTCCTTGGGGCAAGAGTTGCAGATGGTTGTAAGCCACCAGGTAGATGCTGGCACTCAAAACTAGGTCCTCTGGAAGAGAGGCCAGTTCCCTGAACCCCTGAGTCACCTCTCTAGCCACAATTGTGCTGCTTTAAAATAAATCTTGGGAGAAAGCAAAAGATCCAGGAGGGAAGCCCCAGGGGAATTTTATATAGTTGACTGCATACATCCCAAACCACATATCCACACAAATATATTCTCTCCAGGCCAGGTTTAACGACAATAATTCACAGTTATTGTGCGTCTCACTTGCTTCACAGGTTCATTTTGTGCATGTAAGACAGTTACTGAAGCGTTAAGATTGTGGACAAGGTGGAAATAAACCAGTAGGTTAGCAGTCAGGAGGTGAGTGTGAGTGTTGAATGGGTCTACATTACAGCACTGATGATGTCACAAATGTGGGCGGGACCTCACGTGGGAAAGTCCTACTGGGTACATTCTAGCCCCCGAAGTGTTTATGATTCCTTTTGGTTGAGCTCTTCCTAATTTTTGACTGTCTGTCTGTCTGTCTGTCTGTCTCTGTGTGTGTGTGTGTGTGTGTGTGTGTAAGAGGGCAACCTTGGTGTCATTCCTCACAGCATGCACGTTGAAGCACGGTCTCTCATTGGCCTGGAACTCATCATGTAGGCTAAATCAGCTGGCTGGGGAGCCCTAGGGATCTGCCTGTCTCCATTTCCCAGAGCTGGGATCACAAGTGTGCACCACCATGCTTGCCCCCCTCCTCCCCATGTGTGTCCGCAATACCCAGTCCAGCTACAAAGGGCGTCATGCTTGTGTTGTGTGTGTGAGGGGTTTCATCTTCACCTTCCCTCTCCTTCCTTCTCCTCACTCTTCTGCTGGGCAGTCTCCTGCTTCCCTGCGGAGGCGTTCTTCCTGTGACTGGGGCGAGGGCAGACTCAGCATCTGTCTCCATTGCTTAGCAATGTGTTTTCCCAGTAATAACAGTTCTCATGCAGTCATGAGACGCATGCTGGGCAAATGTCCTTATTTTTTTATATATATTAAATATTCATGGACAATTCTGTATTCTGCAAACATTTGTTCTCATGACAAGAATTTGACTTCATGATAGGATACTGGCATACAAGGAAAGAAAAACATACAAAGAAAAAGCCCGTTCAGACATAGAGAAGTCTGAGCTAAAAGAGGGGGCATCATAGCAGTTTCAAGGCCCTGGATCCCAGGAAGTCCTCTTGCAAGGCTGACTTTTGGTTAGGATCTGGGAGCCAAAGTTCTGGAAGGTTCTTGCCATTCCCTGATGGGGCTTCCTTACCTTGCCTCACTTGTGCCAACAGTACAGTTTATGTCAACTCTTTGCTTGCTTTCTGAGGGAATTTTGCTATGTGACAGGCAGAAGCATCATCTATCTGACAAACTTCCAATAAAATCTCCCAACAGTCTCTAGTGAGTCTCCCTGGCTGTCTCAGGTTGTCAGAGATTATTACCAGGGGTGGGGGTTGGGGGAGGGGGGCTGTGATGATTAATCTTCATTGTCTACTTGACTGGTTTTAGAGTCACTATGGAAACAAGCCTGTCTTGTGTGTCTGTGAAGGTGTTTTCAGAATAGACACAACCTGGATGTGGACAGTGCCACCCTACAGACTGGAGTCTGGGACAGAATAAAAGAGGGGAAGCGTGCATAACAACAGAGAGCCATCTCTCCACACCGGACACGGTGTTACTAGCTGCCCCAGGCTACTGCAGCAGTGTGGCTCATCAGGGACTGTCCCACACCATGACAAACTATATTCCTTCTTAAATAAGCCCTTCCTTTCATCCTTCTGTCCTTCCTCCCTCTCTCTGTCACTTTCTCCTCCCCTTGACCTTCTGCCTGCTTCACTCCCTCACTGCTTTCGCTTTGTGTCCTTTGGTTGTAATAAATCATGGCGTGGGAGTGACTTTCTGGCTGAGTCCAAGGCATCTTCCTAGAGAAGGTACATGGCAGTCTTTGAACAAGTTTGGCCGGGCCTTTCAGAAAACAGTCGATTTAGCTGAAAAAAACCATCCCAGGGGACAGAAAGGAAAGAAACACACTCACGTCTTGTACCCACACTAGTGAAGCATAGCATGAAGGCGAAGGGTTATGAGCCAATTATCATGTGCTAACAAAGCAGCAAGGAGTGCTCTAGCTGATATTTATGAGCTGACCAGGTCCAGATTATGCACACACATGATTATATTTTAAGATGTAGACGGCAGCATATAATGTAGCGTTCCCTCATTCTTTTTTCTTTTATACCTAATAGATATTAGAATCAATACCATATTAGTGCATCTAGAATTGCTGAGTCCCTTGTAACGGCTGTATGTTATTCTGCCGAATAATTTTAATACCTTAATATATTCAGTCTTAATACCTTGGTAGATGTTTAGCTTGTTTCTGTTTTTTTTTTTTTTATATTGGCACTACAGCTTATGCAGGCGACAGTCTTATTCACATTTCATCTTGTAAATGTGAGAGCAAGTATTTACAATAATCAGACAAGAAAATTTAGTCAAGGCGTAATCCTGATGGATGCTGCTAAATTTTTCTCCACAGAGCTGCAGCAGTTATGGAAACCCAAATACTGACAAAGGGGAGTGGGAGAACAAGGCAAGAAAGTAAAGTAATTAGAAAAGGATGGAAAAGCCATTTAGCAGACTTTTATAGAGGAAACACAAGGGAGGAAACGATACCACAGATCGCAGTTTGTGAGATCTGACAAGACATGCTTTGTGAGAGAGCAGCCTAAAAACAGGCTATGACAAAAGGTCTGAGGAAAGACAGACAAGCAGAGAGTGTAACAGTGAGACCCTGAAGTGCATTCAAAGCAAAAGCCATTAAAGATGAGAAGGAGGCCACTTAAAACAGGCAAAATGCGGTCTGTGAAGAACATTCAACGGAAGTAAAATCTTACGTGTCAACCCAGAAACACACATGTATACAGTAAAACGTTTTCTTATTTATATATTTTAAAAAACGAATTCTTTGCGAATGTCACATGAGGTATTTGGTCATACTTATCTCTCCCCCCCCCCGACCAGATTTTTGAATCTGTATGCATGTGGGCTGTGCACGCATATCTGGATGCATGCTTACATGTGTGTGGGAGAACACGTGTATTCGGTTGTGCATGTGCACTCTGTGTGAGCACGTGAAAGGCCAGAGGTTGACACTGGGTATCTTCTTCTATTACCTGGAGCCAGTGCCTCTCCTCTGAACCCAGAGCTGAGTGATTTGGCTAGCCAGGCTGGGGAGCTCGCTCTGGGGACTCTCTTGTCTCTGCCTGCCTGGGTGCCTTCCCAGTGCTGAGACAAGAGGTGACTGCCACGACCACCAGCATTCACACGGCCGATGTAAGGACCACTGAACCATCTCCCCGGCCACAAAGCAAATTTTTCTGTATTTATAGACAGCAAAGGCAGAGGGGTGCAATCCCTTTCTGTGCCACTTAGTTTTAGGAAATGTAAACAAACAAAATTTGAATGCTGCAATTATCCCGTTGGTTTCACAGAGGTTCGTGATGATCTGTACTGTGTGGTCTCAAAAACATGATATTTCTTGTATTCATTAGTGATAAAGATCATTTTAGATTTTTAGATTACATATTTAGATCCTAAATATAACAGTTCATGTGCTGAGTCGGAGCTGAGAGGGTCATGTGATCTTGGACACTTTGGGTAGCATTGTCGAACCCGCTAGCCTGCGCCTGATCTCCTGGGTCCGTGTGGCAGCAGAGGGCTAGGTTCTTCCACCTCCATGTGTGCACCGTGCTCCCCCACCATGCACCGTGCTTCCCCACCATGCACCGTGCTCCCCCTATCAGGAGTCAATAAGTCTAACAAAAGAGTTTGAAAGTGCAGTAATTTTGTAAATAAAAAAATGTGTAAGCCTAGATAACTTAGAGAATCATGAGAGTTATGACAGTTCCGCATATAAAGAAAATATCCATATTTTAAAGAGAGTTTTCACTTTATGTGGATGGGTGTTTTGCTTTCGTGTATATGTCAGTCCGTTGTGCACATGCTTGGTGCCTGTGGAGGCCAAAGCAAGGCATCAGATTCCCTGGAACTGGAGTTATGGACAGTTAGAGGCTGCCATGTGGGTGCTGGGAATCAGTCCCGCTCCTCTGCAAGAGCAATAAGTGTAACTACTGAGCCATCTCTCCAGCCTGATGTCTGCACTTTAAAAAAAAAAATGTTGTTGTTTGAGACAGGGTGTCTTAGTGTAGCCCTGGATGTTCTGGAATTTGCTATGTAGACCAGGCTGGCCTTGAACTCACAGAGATCCATCTGCTTCTGCCTTCTGAGTGCTGGGATTAAAGGCGTGCGCCACGACCACATGGCAATTTCTGTATTTTTTAATTCTGAAAATGTATGAGGCGGGGCTAAGGGGTGTGGGTGTACTCATTGAATAAACAGCCCTGCATCCTTCACTGTTCTGTAAGACACTGGAGTCAGCGTTCGGCTCTTGAAGTTAGGGAAAGAAAACATAGCTGCGAATTCCGAAGCCCAGTTAAGACAAATCAACAAGAAGAGCAAAGGGGGATTGGTTTCACAGTTACTAGCTCGGGTTTAAAAGATGCAGCAATGGTTATAACTTAAGAGTTAAGGTCTGGGTGCACAGGCCAAGGACCACAGGGATGGACACGTCGGGGAGAGCAGCGTCCCTTATCTCTGAATGAGGAGGCTATGAGTGACAGCTGCAGGGATGGCACAGTGTTAACAGGTTAAAAACACTTGCTGATCTTACAGAGGACCTGAGTGAGCTTCCTTGTGACTGCCTGTGACCTGGGTTTGAGGGATCTGATGTCCCCACACTGCCCTTCATGTGTTCAATCCCCCCCCTCTCTTAAATCTTGGAAAAAGGTTCTGAAAAATTATAAATTAATTGTATCCCCTTTTGTATTTCCTAACTTTTTATAACAGGCGTGTGTCATCCTCATAAGGAGAAAAAAATCAACAGAAGTCTTTAAGAACTGCTAGCTCAACACCATCAATGGGAACCACTTCCCCACTCGCTTCTGAAGCCAGAGTGGCTCCTGGCTGGCTGCAGGTGTTTTCATACAGGCTAACGAAATGTTGCTCTATTTTGTATAGCTGCTATGAGGGAAGCCCCGAGGAACTACAAGGAAATTTGATGTACCAGTGGGGCGAGCCCCACACCCCTGCAACATGTGATTCTCTTTAGAGATAGTATCTCATTATACACACAAGGTGGCCTTGAATGTAAGGTCCTACTTCTTGTGCCTTCAGAGCGCTGGGGCTTGAAAGGTGTACTAGCGCACATGACTCAAATTAAATCTGTCATCACGGGGAACATCCTTAAATTGTATGTATCTAACTGGTTCGTCATGATCCATTGTACCTGGAAATAGGTAATGGAGGATGTGGTAAATGTTTGTTTAATGACTGAGTATGCCTATGTCTATCTATCTGTCTACCAATCTATCCACCCACCCATCAGTCCATGCCAATGTAGGCTCATATCCCCCGGAATGGCCTCAAACTTGCCCACTAGGAAAGGATCAGGTTTTCCCTGATCCTTCTGCTTCACCCTCCTGAATGCTCTGGGATTACAGGTATGTGCCACCATATCTGGGTCCCACCTGTTGTACCGGCAGTGATGTCCCCTGCCCTGGGTGTGGCTTGTCTGTTTGGGGTGAGCCCTCTGAGTTCTGACTCACCGACAGAGGCAGGATAAGCGGCACTCCAGGGAGAAGGTTCCTCGGCGAAGACCGGTAGTTAGTCAGAACCTTGAACTCAAAGCCAACTTTTCCAATGTTTTTCAGTGTGATTTCACGTTCTGTGACATGGTCAAACAGCTGGAGAGAGGATGAGAAGAAGGACGGTTACTTGTATGTGGGATTCTGCTATCAGCCTGACAAAGGGGGTCAACATACCACCCCAAAATGTCCTATATTTCATAAGATGCTGGTCAACCCACATTCAAGCAACAGAAAAGCATCTCCCCGGAGAATCTAAATTTTCTAAAATAAGAGGACTTGTTTCTGATTTGATCCTATTTAAAACACAATATTTAAATTTAGAACGTTCTAGAATTAATTTTCCCATTGATACCGGGGAGTCATAGGTATAACATGCCGGTTGATATTTGCTAGCATACTTCATGAGCTCATATGGTAGGCTTAACATCCCCGAACTGAGGCCTACTTTAGGGGTTCCAAGGACAAACCAGGGCAAAACTAGCTGTCTTAGGTAGGATCAGGTCCTTTTAGGGAGGCATAGCTGTAGAGATGAATTGAAACCAGTTTATCAGAAGACCCTGGAGGTGAAGAAGAAAACCATTCTGTTTGGATAACAAGCAGCAGAGAAGACAGCAGTCAGTGTTGGATGACTGAATGCAGATGCAGTCTTCAACCTACACACATATCTGCACATACAATTCAATAATTTCTACTTGCTGTGTAACAGGGACCAAATGAGGTAAAAATTGCTAAGAAGTACAGTCTCTGAGTACACAACACACAGAGGATCAGCTGACGGCTACCCCTACCCCAGGAAGAAAGCGTGTGTGTCTGAGACGTGCCAAGTGGAGGCAGGGAGGAGGTAAGCTTCTGGAAGGAGCTGAGCTGTGACTGACTGGAGGAACAAGTCTGAGGTGGCAGAGCAGGACATGAGGAGAACAGTGCACGAGAAAGTGTGGAGGCAGAGAGGGCTGGGGGCATGAGAGGCAGTGGGTTAACCCGATTGGCCACAACTAAATTGATGGCTTATAGTGGGGGGACTATGGTCAACTCAATGTCTGTGTATGGAACATCTGTTAAAAGAAGTGTTTAACAGCTGGGCGTGGTGGTACACTCCTTTAATCCCAGCAAACAGGCAGCAGAGGCAGGTAGGACTCTATGAGTTTGAGGCTAGCCTGGTCTACATGATGAGTGCCAGGGATATACAGAGAGACCCCATTTAAAAAACCTCAAATTGCCCCCAAGTAAAACCACAGAAGAAGAGGGCTTAACAATGGGGATCCCACAGACACCCCCCCACCCCAAATGTTACAGGCTATTGCCAATATTATAGGTCACCTTCCAGGACTTGACAGTAAGACCCTATTGTCAAAGATACCACACATTTGGAACATGAAGAGATTCAGCTGGTGCTCTACTGGGAGTTGCGTCCCTGCTGGATAACCTAGCTTTCGTGCTGCTGGGAGGTGCTATGGGAGCTACTGGGGAGAAGAGTGATCAACAGTCTCACCTAGCTGTGGGTCCCATGAACTACAAGGACCTGCCTGGTACAGCAGGGACATAAATGTTATAGGCATAGCAAACTACTTCTTGATTGGCTATACGGTCCACCCCATAAGATGGCATGTACACCTGTCACTGAGGCCAAGACCTGTGGCTACATAAGTCATGAGCCCCGGGGGGAAAGTCTAGGACTACACTAATTCTGCTAAAATGACATACTATTAGAACGACTTCTAATAACTTAATGCCATTTATTAGTGCATCTCCCAACCCTCATGAGCGAAGCTTGCTTCTGTAATAGATGGTGACGGCACAGAGACCCGATCAACGGGTAGAGAGCAGAGACTTCAGACTGCTCGGCTCTCAATGAGATGTCTACGCCATGCCTCTCCTCTCAAGGCTCGGGGAAGTGGCAGAGGGGGACATACGGGTGGCAAGAGCCAGATGTGGTGGGTAAACTATCTTCCAGATGCAGCTGGACAGCTGCATGGAGGGAGGGAGTAGACATAGAGTCCCAGCCCCGCCCAGGAGCTACTGGTATTTGCTGCTGGAGAGTGACCGTTCTCTTCAATGGTGTGACACCTGCTACTAATTCCACACTCAGGAATAGCCAGCCGATACAAACAGGGCTTGATGGGGAGGGAGAATGAAGAGCCAGACAGAACAAGGTGGGTAGGAGGTTGAGAGGGGGATCTGAGAGTGGTGAATAGGATTAAAATACACTGTGTGAAATTTTCTAAGAATAAAACCATCTAAAAAAAGATTTAAAAAAAAGGCTTAGGACATCCTCGGTAAGTGATCTAATTGGTGCTAGAGAAGGGAACTCATGGTGACTGTCACTACCAGGGCAAAGCACTGACTGGTGGTGGGATGGCCTCGCTGCCCATCCTCATCTTAAGGATGAGGGATGCTGGAGCCTGGAGGGGTGAGGAGATGCTCCTAACATGACAGTAGGAATCCAGACAGGATAAAAACAACAATAACAACAACAACAAATGAAAACAAAACAAAAGAGAAATGTGCTCTTTTCTCAATACTGTGTTGCTGGGGTGAACTGCCCTGGGAATGATGGGCTTTTGAAAAAATAAAACCCCAGGCCAATGCTGGGCCCGCTGAATCAGACCCCAGGTCCTCTATGTACCACAGTGGGAGCAGAATGCTGTAGTATTTAGGCATGGCAGCCAGGTGTCATTGTGCATGCATGTAATCCCAGCACTTGGGAGCTGTAGGTGGGAAGATCAGGGGTTTGAGGTCGTCCCTTGGCTACGGTAGTGGGGTTTGAGGTAAGCCGGGGCTGCAGGAGACCCTGTCTTTAAAAATCAGAAATAAAACCATCGGAACAACTTAGGTACGGCCTGTGGTGGGACTGGAGTGACTCAGAGTGGGACTGAGGTGGGTAACTTGGAAATGCTGCACGCTGCAGGTATGTGGGGTGTGTGGGAGAGAGCAGCAAGAACGCCTTGGAGCCTGTCAACGGAGGGGTGTGAGAAACTAGTGCTGATGAGAGACACAGAACCGGAAAGTGAGCTGATGCTTAACTGGAGGATGCATCCAGAAGAACCAGTGAAAAGGACCACAAACGGGGGACTGGGGCAGGGAAGCTGAATACAGATGAAGGGCTGGAATCATGAGGACCACAAGCCATGTTTAAGGCAAACCCAGAAAACCCCCACCTGATGCCGGCAGTACCTGCAATCCATAGTTAATGTCCTTCGTGTCAAAGGAGTAGTTGACCAGGGATGCCTCCCCCTTCAGGAGTATTTCATAGGTGGGCCCTCCTTCCACTTCGCACAGAGCCTTGGCCCGGGCGATGATGTCACAGTGTCCATAGAAGGTAAAGGAGATCTGATGGCTGCTGTATGGCCGCACGACTCCGTAGAGGGGCAAAATGTCAAATACCTGCAGAGAGAGGGGGCCAGCTATCAGGATGACGGGTCTGTGGCGAATGAGTTAGACTTCATAGGTGGGCAGACTCATTCTTGACTTTTGACTCTCGAGCACGCGTGTGTGAAGGGGACAGTGGAAACGCTCTGGGTAGATGTCAGTTTCCAATATGGAGAAGGTGCCTGGAAGCGTCAGTGCTGGGTGATTTAGGACCTTGGGGTTACCACTTACTTCTTCTATCCCAATAGAAAGCATCTCATCCTGTTCGTAGATCCACAGGCATTCTGGGTAGTCCGGCTGGCTCTGGCTTCTTTCTGTTCCTGCGGAACTGTATTTTATTGCCTGGAAATGAAAGAGGGAAGAGAAGCTATCAAGCACATGTCACGGCTCATCATTGATGCACACCTCTCCTTCCTTGCAAGAAAAAGGAAACACAGCAACTATTGCTGTAAGGATGGAGCATATAGGGGATGGAGAGAGAGCTCAGTGGCTAAGAGCAGGTACTGCTATTGCAAAAGACCCAGTTTGGCCCCCAGCACCCTTGCTGAGTGGCTCAGAGGCATCCGTAACTCCAGCTTGAGTGGATCTGGCTCCCTCTTCTGGCCACCATGGGTACTGCATCCATATGCATCCGCCCTCCCCAACACAAGAATATATAATTGAAATTACGTTTTTTAAAACCTGGACAGTCTTCCCCCTACGATGACACTTGGACAATGCTCAAAATGTACATATATGGATAGTTATAGCAGAGTCATTTTAACAGGGTAGTTCTGAGAGCAAGCTGTCTGCCCATAGAAATCACACATTTTAAAAAACGTGTGCACAACACCTCTATACACAGAGGATGACTCAATGTGTGTATTTGTGGACCAGGAACAATGCATAAACATGTTCTTGAGAGAAAAGGTGTGTTTCATTCATGAGAGATTACAGAGGCCTCATGTGAGTCACACTCTGAAGGCATGAGTAGGTGTAAATTCATTCTGAGGTCTAAGTGTGCAAAACCGTTATCTGTGTGTGAGACTGCTAAGAATTTCAGTAGTGTTTTCTTATGAATGGTGGGAGTCAAAGGAGTTTTGTCTGATATTTCTGTATTGCACGGATTTTCCACGGTGGGCATCTCTGAAGATGGACATTGATGAATAATCAGAAGATAAACGTGTGAAATGAAAAGGCAGGGAAAGATCTAAGGAAAGAAATTACAATCAATTAATAGTTTATAGTATTTGTGTATGTATATACATCTCTGTCCTGTGCGTATATGTCTGTCTACACCTCATGTGGTGGAACAACCTTCACAAATGAGTATCATTTAAAGTATTAAAAGTAGCTGACACGTATTTGTGATACAAAGTTAAAATATTAAAAAGGGCATACGGTTAAAAAAAATAATACTTCTAGCAATGTTCCTTAGTCTTCAGCTGTAGACAGGTAACCACTGTTTGGTGTTTTGATAGATTCCATCTGATTATTTTCTTCATTTGATGAACTTTTGAAAACTTATTTTAAAATATCTTTATGTGTATATGTGTGCATTTGAGAGTGGGTAAGCACACATAACTCCGTGTCCATGGAGGCTGGAAGACAGTGCTAGATGCTCTGCAGCTGGAGTTACAGGTGGTTGTGAACCTCCAGATGTGGATGCTGGGCATGTCCTCTGGAAGAGCAGGAAGTGCTCTTAACTGATGCTCCTGTCTTTACTTCACTAATACTTACAGAAGACATACCATGGACTAGTTCCAGGTACTAGAGATAAAATGGTGAACAGAACAGGAAAAGGAAAACCTCTGCCCTCATGACCCTGGCGCTTCTTAGCTATTTTATGCATAAGCACACACACACACACACACACACACACACAGCACCACCACCACCATTTAAAAGACACAGAGACTGCGGAGTCTGCCAGCTGGACTGCTTGACACCTGTATCCCCTCACTGAAGTGGGAAAGGACAGTGGTTCCTGCCAACAGAGACAATGGGGGAAAAGCTTACAAGTATGGAAAGTGTATTAGGTGCTCAGTAAATTAGCTGTTGGGGTTGGAGAGATGACGGCTCAGTACGAGCCATGGCTGTTCTTACAGGGATCTAGGTTCTATTCCCAGCACCCATCAGACTGCTCATTACCATTTGACCAGTTCTAGAGAATCTGATGCCCTCTTCTGGCCTCTGTGGGCACTGCATACACATGGTGCACATTTGCACATGCAGGCAAAATTCATGTACACACACACACAAAATATTAAAAAGTAACCACTAGTAGTTGTTTTTATCTACTTCTGCCTTGACAGGAATGGTAGCACACTATGTGCTCCCTCTCTTTTACATAGCACTTTTAACTTAATATTTCAGAGATTATACCAAACTGGTAAAGAACCTATTTGCTTTTTATGATAGAATTCCCACAGCACTGCCTTGTGCAGATGTAATTTGGTTTAGTCAGTTAATCTCCTGTTGGCAGAATTGTTGTTTCTGAAACGTTCGTGCTCTTACAAACAAAGCTATGATGTAGGCTAGTTATGGCTTCGTATAAACACAGAGTCATATCTAGAGAATCATTTAGAAGAGGAAGTATGCATTTTAAATATTTTAAATACACCTGCCAAGTTATGTGTCAAAGAGGCTACACTAATTTGCTCCCCTGTCTGTATGTATGAAAATCTCTGCTCATGCCCATTTTTTTTTTTTTTTTGCCACAACTCAGTCCAGGCTTGGACATATAGTAATTTGTTTAGCATTTTTTTTTCAATTTCCTTTTTCCCCCTATTTCTAAGGTATAAGAAAAAAATATCTTTCTAGTGGAGAACTCTGTGTCTCCAGTGTTTTATTCAGTCTATCATCCTAGAGGAAGTATTTAAGGGTGTATATAGTGTATAAGTGTGTGTGTGTGGGGGGCTACAGGTGCTTGTGTGTATGGGAGTGTGCATGTGTGTGTATATATGTATTGTATACAGATGTGAGAACAGGTGCTTGCGCACACGTGTATACATGTATGTGCAGGTTAAATGTCAATATTTACATCTTGCTCATTCTCTACCTTATCTGTTAGAGGCGGAATCGCTCACTGACCCTGGAGCTCAGCGATTCCGCTAGACTGTGAGGCTCTACCTGTCTCCACACACACGCCGTCAGTGCTGCGTTTACTGATGTGTAACCTAGAGAACAGCCTTCACACGGATGCTGGAGATCTGAACTCACATACTCACACTTGCATAACAGCCACTGAGTCACTTCCCTAGCTCAGGACTGTGAATGAACCTTGGCGTATACTACGTTATTCCTGAGGAAGATACTTCTCCGTTAGCGGCCCTTATGCTGGGAGTGGGAAGAACACATGACCACCCTGGCCTGGAGATCATCGGTTTTTCACTTTTTGGAAATCTGTGTCCTGAGGTATCCTGGCCTCTCCCTGAGGTGCTCACTCTGGAGAGGAGCGACCTGGACAAAGCTCCCAGGCCTCACGCCAGCTCCCTCCCAGTGCTGCACACGGCACTCTGCTCCTGGCTCCTCTCTGATTTGGAAAGGATCTTTCCCTCGCTAACCCCGCCCAGGAGCAAAGGAATCGTACTTCTGAGACCATAGTGGACGTCGCGGGCTTTTTGATTTCTTCAGGTCCAGCTTCATCGTCCATAAGGATTGTCCTGAGGAGTTTAAGGGAATATGAGAATCACTGCGTTGGTAGCTGTCACCACCAGTCCAGCTGCGACTGTGCCCAACCCCACTTTTCTCTTCCTCTCTGTCATATCCCACAATAAGTAGAGTACTGTTTAAAGGACACTTTCTCTAAGAGGTCAGCTGGCACTGCTCAACTGTCCTCTGCCTTCACATGTATAGAGTGGGCCAGTCTCCCAGTGGCCACCCTTGCCTGGGGCACCAAGTTCGTGTCCAACTTACAACACATGCTGGGAAGCACGGGCGATTCTTCAGACCGTTTGGATGCATCCTCCATGCTCAGTGTTCAAGGTTATAATGTTTGACCTTGTTTTTGAGACTAGGTATCACTATGTAGCCCAGGTTGGCCTCAAACTCATAATCCTCCTGCCTCAGGCTCCTGAGCACTGGCATGACAGGCATGTGCCACCATACCTAACTTAATTTCCTGGTGTTTGATGGATGGATAATGTTACTGTCTGCTTTCTACCTTGAGTCCCATCCTGTTTGCATAGCTTTGCCCTGTGAGGGGAGTAAAGGGAAGGAACTCAGTGCCCCGGGGGTTAAGAACTCTGTCCCCCATCTGAGAGCAGAGACGGTTCTCAGCTCTTTGACTCAGGCCCAGTGGTGGGCCAAACTCATAGAATCCCCTCACGTAACTGTTGGCTAGTGTATGGCTGAGCGGACAGGCGAGGGATGGAGGTTGAGGGCGTCATAAGCTCACTGAGAGGAAAGAACACTGCTAGGGACAAGCCCACACGCTTTTGCCTCCTTACTTGATGGAATCACTGAAGTCCATCTCAGTGTACTCTGGCATTGGTGGGGCCGCTAGAGAGCTGGCAGTGACCGAAGTTGCTGGGATAGACTCCATCTGGGACAAGAAGGCGCTGTAGGGCTTCATACATGGTGCGAACCTACCAAGACAAAGAGGCGCTGTATATTACAGATTGTTGGCTCCTGGGCTTAGATTTTCTAAGGCCATTCTTGTATCCTACCCTGGAAAGACCGAAGGACAGCCTTGTGCCCTCCCTTGGACTTGCATCCTTCACATCTCAGGAGTCTCAATCCTCAGATTTTTCAGAGATCGCCCATCTCGGCCTGGATTCAGAATCTCCCCTCTGAGCATACACAGACTCCTGGGATGCCCCTCTCCCATTTTCCCTCTCATTCCTGGCTGACTGTGAGCTCCCCAGCTACCACAGGACTTGTTTCTTTTCTTTTTTCTTTCTTTCTTTCTTTTTTTTTTTTGTTTGTTTTTTCAAGACAGGGTTTTTCTGTATAGCCCTGGGCTGTCCTGGAACTCACTCTGTAGACTAGGCTGGCCTTGAACTCAGAAATCTGCCTGTCTCTGCCTCCCAAGTGCTGGGATTAAAGGCGTGCACCACCACCGCCCGGCCCAGGACTTGTTTCTTACAGGGTACCAGATACAGTATATCGACTGAACTATACAGCCAACCCTACATAGGAACGAATGAGGATCTGCTCCCAGAGAAGCAGAAAGCAGAGCTGAGATTAGAGTGGGGTATGTGAAGCACTCCCTGTTGGGATCCTAAAAAAAGGAGAAGAAGAAGAAGGAGGAGGAGGAAGAAGAGGAGGAGGAGAAAAAGAAGAAAGAAAGAATAAGCAAACAAGATCCTCAGCACCTTGCTTGACACATCCCAATGCTGGCCCCATTGGTGAGATTGGCTGTCACTCAGGTTCTGAGTGGGGCGGCTCAGGGGAAGTCAGGTGGCTGCACTGGCTGGCACCTGAGCCAGCCCATAGGCTCAGGTTTCACTCATTAGATTAGAAAAGCCTTTGGCTGTGGTCAAGGTCAGGGCCAAGGTGGTAGGCTCGCCCACAATCCTCTTTTCTATCTGGGCACAGGTGACTTTGCTCTGGACTCCTCCCCTTCTTCCCCTGTATCTTGCTGAAAGTTTCAGTCCAGTTCACTTATTTAATAATTCGGGTCCCGTTTGAAGTCAGCAGAAGCTCTTGGCAGGGACCTCTCTTTCCTCTGGAGAGGGAAAGTCTCCCTGGCTCACCACAGCTCCTCATTCAAGTTTCGGGATGGTGTCCACTTCCTGTGAGGCTGGGAGTGCTGTTTCCTGAACCTCAGACACCCCGTTACCTCCTGATTTCTGCCTACTCAGTATTACCCAATAAAGTGATTTTATGAAGGCGTGGTCAACTTGCCAAATTAACCCATCAGCATACCATTTGATGAAATTTTACAGATACCCAAGTATCTACTGCCATGTTTGTAGACAGACTGCTCCTACCGTTCCCTTAAAAATTACGTATCATCCTTGTGGATTTGTGCTTTATGGCACAGTGGATAAGTTTCACCCACAGCTTCATAGAACTGGAGCCTGACATCGGTACTGACTGATTCTGACTTCTTGGGTTCAACATAAACATTTTAATGTAAGTATTGTTACATGGAACAGTATTCTCTATAAAAACCAAGTAGTTCTCCGTAATATGGCTACTCCTTGATCTTCTTGTTGATGGACATCCAACCAAGCCTTGGGATTCTGTTCATAAAAGTTGCAATGAGCTTTTGTGTATAAGCTTTTATGTGGACACATGCTTATTCTCTGCTTTGATTTGGATCTGGTATGTTCCCCCAAAAGGCTCATGTATTCGAGCTTAATCTGCTGCTTGGTGCTATTCACAGGTGGTGGGAGTTTTTGGAGGCAAGGCCTTTAGGTCCCTGGGGATATTGCATTAAAGGACATAGTATACCGCTGCTTCTTCTTCTGCTCTTTGCTCTCCGGCTCACAATGAGGTGAACGGTTTTACTCTGTTTTATATTCCTACCATGATGTATTGCTTTGTCACAGGCCCAAAGGAAACAAGACAAACCAACGTATGGACCGAAGCCTGAACAGCTGTGAGCTGAAGTAAACCTTTCGCTTTATGACTGGCTCAGGTGTCCACTATTAGTAATGGAAACCTGAGTCACTCATTCTTATGGGACAAATTCCCTTGTAGGGAACTGCTGTATTACATGACCCATGCATGTTCAACATTAAAGGCCACTGAGAACAGTCACACTTGGCATTTGGATTAATCTAGGCCATTCACTGCTTTCGTGGTGGCAGCTCCTACGTTATCATTAGTAGGCTTATTTTAAGGGAATGTATTTATATGATCACTACAAATGGAATCCTGATCTTCATTCATTTCAAAAACTCAACAGGGGGAAAAAATCAATGCTATTTATCTGCCTAATAAAGGCTCGGAGCAGAGTGTTGCCTGCTGTTTTATGAAGGAGGACCGATTTACTTCTCCTTGAGGAAACCTGGAGCTGGCATCATCTGTAACTGGGCTCACTACAGAACCATGAGCACTGGGAGGGGCAGGGTCTCCTCGGCCCTGCAGCACAAAGGCTATTACTACACAGAGACCAAGTGCAGTGGATGTTTGATTAGCTGGCTGGCTGGCAGGGTAGGCAGTCAAATGAGAGCAGGTGAGCAGTGTGCTGTGGTCACACTCCCACCTAGGATGGTCTGAGCTCTCTTGAGCTTCCACTGGGCTTGCTCTAGATCAGATGCGTTAGTTGACTCTGACTTCTCGGCAGAGCCTCGCTGTTGGAGGGGGTGGGAGAGATATAAGAAAATCTGAGAAACTTGATACAATAAAGACTCCTGGCTCCATCCTTGGGAAGATTCAGGTCTTGGGTAGGGAGGGCCCAGGACTTGGTTTTAATTCATCCCAGACGCTTCAAGTGATAAGCAGCCACCGTGGGTGGGAAGTCACTGTGGGTAGCTCAGGACAGAGCTGATAATTAATGTGAGGTTAACACTGTAGCCCTTACCGGCTAGGGACAGTGAAAAACAGTGAAGGCGATTCTGAGAACTTATTAGATCACCACAGGTCGGTGAGGATGCCTGAGGGGGACCCTCTGCTGGGCCATTGTGCATATGATAGCAATCTCTCATCTAACATTGGCACCCCTACTCCCCAATGACTTCTAGATTAAAAAAGAGAGCATGTGGGGATGTCTGTCAAGGAAGAACACAGCTGTGGAGTGTCTGCGCACCCGGGAAAAACAACACCTCAACTGGGAAGCAAGAGGTCTCTGGGAACAAACAAGAGAGTTGCAATGAGACCTTAAACAGAACTTCAACTTGTTAAAACCTGATGCTCCCTCACCCCCATTCAAGCCCAACGTTGGTTCGGCCTCCCCCCACCCCCCCGAAATTCATTTTCCCTTCAGGTATAGATCAGATTCATTTCCTCTTAGACACAGATGATTACCTTCCTGTCCAGTTGGCTCTCACGGGATTGGATCCCGTTATTTTTAAAAAGAGAGTGGGCAGCAATCAAAGAAAATCAATATTGCTCCAATTCTAGAAGACTCACTGGAGACGCCAGGAAAGGACACTCCTTGGGCTGCGACAGCGGCTTCTGAATGTCAAACACAGGCTGATGAGCAGAACCAGGCAGGCTCAAGGGGCCCCTCTTCGTGTTTTGTTTTCAACACCGGGATAAGGATCAATACAAACCTTTGTGTTATACACAGTAAAAACAAAACAACAACAAAGTCCACCACTCTCATTTTCTGTCCCCCTCTCTGCAGCAAGCTGTACCATGACAAAACAAAAGACCAAGAACTAGCTTGTGCTTTAGCTGAATGTTGGCGTTCTCGGGACATCTGAAGACCGGAAGGTGGAAGTCACATACACTCAGGCCTGGGCAGTGAGGTCCAGGCGGGGGGGACAGGTTAGCTTTGCAGTGGACACAGTGACTGCCGATTTGCTTATTCATTACATTTGGGTTCTGGAAGTGTCCCTTATTGAGGGTCAGAACAGTCTCTGACTTTATGTGAGGGGCCTGCAGATGGGCTTTATCTGGCTGGACAAAGACAATCAGCATGTGTTATTTTCCGAATGAATGCTGTAGATGCTGATGGGACTATGTCTAGATCACCCTGCTAGGAGGATGTGCTCATTGCCAGACACTGTGGGTGTTGGGAGCACCTTTCTCTGGAACATTGCCCTGCCCTGACAGAAACTGCCTCACACACCAAGGATTTCTCAGGAGGGTATCACTTCCTGTAGAAAGGGCTCACAGATAGGCAGAGGACTGGTTGACGGGTGGGAGGCTCTAAGAGCCCACCCTCCTCAGCTGTGAGAGGGATAAACTCTGGTGACTCCAGGGCTTCCTGTGGGATGGGACTGAGGTCAGAGTTACTTTTGCAACTGCAGCTCCAGTTTCCCCTTCTTTCTCTCTGGCTTCCCTCGATGTTCCTCCTGAGGCTTTTTCCTCAATGCAGCAGCAACTGTTCCAGCCTTGGCATGGAGGGAACCTCTGCACAGTTCCAGAGAGGAGAGATGCTGGCTTCCAGCAACCCTAAGGCCAGCGGGTCAGAGAGAGAGGACATAGAGGTGGCTATAACTGAGCACATACTGCTCTGAGGAAGCTCTTCATGGCCAGGCTTCCTAGTCTTGCCCTTCAGCCCTGAGCCTTCCCGTTCTCCACACCCCTCATGTGCTCAGTTCTCAGTGAAACTCTCCAAGTACCAAGAAGGATCTTTCTCAAGGTTTAGCCCATGGAACACGCTCTCTCTCTGCCTAAGGCAACTCTATGTCTCTATTCAGTCCACATCGATGTGACTTTTAAGCCTTAGCTTTGCTGTTTTCAATGGGGGCATGGTTCCTTGACCCCGAGACCGTGCTATGGGGTCACGTTCCTGCTTCCATGGACCGTGCATTGTGACCCACTCAGCAGCCAGGCCTGTCTCTACCGCCACTGTCCCTAGCAAGTGATGCTGTATCAAGTTTCAGGATGACACTCACTCCACATTTATTGAATAAGGAATTCTATCTGGAAGTCCCGTGAGGCTGGAGATGGCTCAGCAGCTAGAGAACTTGCTGTGTAAATGTGAAGACCAGAATGCAGACCCCCAGAACCCCTGTGAATGCTG